TTTTTTTATCAAAGTCATCGTCGCGCACAATCTTTTATAAAGATAATATCCCACATATGTCACGGACGCTATAGCAGCTCAGTGTTGAATCCTATCTGCTCCACCGCGCAGACCCGGGTTCGATTCCTAGGGTCGTCCTGTTTTCCTCCATCTTTCTCTCACGCACGTCCTCGGCCCGTGGGGCGTGATGCCCCTATTTTTTTTCTTTTCTTTTCTCATTTCTGTTTTTGTTTTTCCTTCTTTAAATTAATTCGAGATTTTCAAATTACAAAAGGTTGCAAGTTTTGAGAAATCATAGAATGTTTATGAATTCAAAAAATGTGCGAGAAATCATAATTTTTTTGCAGTTTTAATTCTTTTGGTGATTTACAAAACTGTTCGCAAATTATAAAAAAATCACAATTTTTCAAAATTTGTTCCCCCAATTATAAAAAAAGTTCATTGATACAAAAAAGGTTTGCTAACTCAAAAACTATTCATGAATTCAAAAACTATGCATGCATTTCAAAAAATGTTCGTCTGAACAAAACAAATGTTCATGAATTCGAAAACTACTCATGCATTTCAAAAAATGTTCGTCTGAACAAAACAAATGTTCATGCATTTAAAAAATGCCCAAAATTTTAAAACAAATGTTTGTCGATTAGAAAAAATGTTTGTCGATTCAAAAGTCTTTCATGTCTAGGATTTGGGTAGTTTTTGGAAAGTCCTTTTATGTCTAGGCGCTAGGAGTAGTTTGTGGTCCATGAAATTTGTTTTTAAAGTTTTAAACATTCTCTTGCGCGGCACAATGACAAGTGTGCCATGCAGTGGCAAGCTCATTGCCTTTGAATTTACAATGTCGAATGCATTGTGATCACATGGACATCGCGTACATCATCAACAAGGGTGGAAACATGGTGAGCCACCGTGTGAAAATAGAGGACGCTCATAATTTGGGGTATTGAGTCATACTTATTTGGCTTGCGTGCAACTTTTTTGTCTTCCGTTGCAACGCACGGGCATGTTTGCTATACCTACTAATAAAAGAAATAGGTATTCTTAGTCCAGTCATACTATTTTGCAGAAAAACTCCCTCACGTTTTTGTTAATCAACCCGCAGTCCACTTTTAAATCAGTTTTTTGTTTTTCAAGAAAACCCCATGATATTTCTGAAATCAACCCGCAGGCCAGGTCTAAGTCAAAATTTTGCTTTTGCAGGAAAACCCCTGGTATTTGGGTTAATCAACCCGCAGTACATATCAAATACTTCTAAAAAATATTCATATCCATATCTTTTAAATTCCAACTCTAAATTTAACATGCTATATATGAAATTTAATTAGAAGAATATGTAGAATCTGAATATGATGTTATTTTACCCCCTAGCCATTTTAAAAATGCTATTTATGGTGCTAAATCAATAGTGCATGATCCATCTTTTCATGTGACTATTATGATCCATCTTTTTTCATACTGGTGCCGATCCAAATTGAAAATGAATACCCAACAAAACCGGTATGGAAGACGAAAAACACTAAATGATGCACGTACGCCTCATCAAAATCTAAAAAAAAGCATGTTTATCATGCCGACAGAGACGTCTTAGAATTGACAACATTCAAACATGTTGTGATTGTTTGAATATTGAGGCCATCATCAACGAGAGTGAAAAGAGGATAAGTGGCAATACAGATGGGATGCCATTTGTTGAAAGAAAGGCCGTGAACCTATTAGAGTCCGGAGTCATGGCTATTGGGTTAGGGGATTGTGGTTTTTTTTCACCCGTTGCAACGCACGGGCCCTTTTGCTAGTTGTGTATCAAAGTATGTTACATCCACATCCACTGTCCCGTTGGCAGGACTGATTCTCTAAAGATATAATCCAGTTGTGAATTTTACGTTGTACTCCCTCCGTAAACAAGTATAAAAGTGTTTAGAATACTAAAGTAGTGATCTAAACGTTTTTATATTAGTTTACAGATGAAGTACTATCAAAGAAGTCGTTTCATTGTCGATGAAAACGCGGCCTCTTATAAGAATGACAAATGTATCTTACGCTGCGCCTATATCTGTATCGGCGTTTCCAGAGAAACAAGCAGTTTTCTGAGACTGTAGAATTGTCCCGACAAATGCTCTGCCTCGCCATTCACGACAAAATAAAAATAAAAATAAATGACAAGAATGCCCCTTCCGTTCTCGAGCTCGAGCACTCGCTGTTCCCTTCTTTCTTGCTCCTCTTCCCCTCCCCGGCGGTTGGCTTCCCCCGCTTCTCTCAAATCCCCACGCCACCACCATCCCACCTCCCTCCGGCGAACACGCCACCGCGCGCTCCCACCACCGAAGCACGCCACCTCGAACGAACTTCCCCCCTCAGTAGCCGTCGGCCGTCCTCCTCCGCTCTACTCGGCTGGCGTCGCGCCGAGATCCATCCGGGGTCAGACCGGTTCCCGCTGTCGGTAACGAGCCCCTACCTGCCTCTGTTCTTGTTCCTACTAGTAGTTTCCTTCCGGCACGTTGCCATGGGCAATCTGAAACTTCTGCTCTTCCCGGGACGGATGCTCCAATTCGTCCATTCTGTTGCGAATTTGGTTGCAGCGTGCTGCGAATGGGATTTAGTGGAGTGCTAGTAGCAGCTTGTGTTGCGAGGACCGATTCTGTATTGGCTGCCAGGCTTTACCAGGATTTCCTGCTTCCGAAAATGTTCACTGATATCTGGGATGAGATCTCTGTTCTTCATGGAATGGGCACCTAGGAGCTGTATGTATGTTTTTCTTAGAAAATGGTACTACGCATCTATGTATTTGAACTGTGTGTATGTATGCATGTTTCAATCTTGTGATCTTGGAGTCCTAGTAGCAGTTCATTTTCGAAATAATTTCGGGGGCACCGGCGTTGAAATAATTTCGGGGGCTCGGCTGAACGCCGGTGCCCCAAGCTAGGTCTGCCCCTGTTTGTGCTGCACGCCGAACAGGATTTAGTTGAGTGCTAGTAGTAGATTGTGATGTGAACACCTACTCTGTATTGGCTGTCAGTTTTGCGAGGAATTCGTGCTCTTGAAGACCATCACTATGTGCTTAGCACCTCAGATCTCTGTTCTTCATGAAATGGGAACTTAGGAACTGTATGTACGCTACGCGTTAATCGTGATCTGTATTGTGTAGTGCTAAGATAGAAGCCATTGGATGTGTCTTGGCCGCCCATGAGCTTGTTTTGCTACTACTCACAATTTTTTTAGTGACTGTGCTTCTTGTCCATGTCGATGTGCAGATGCGAGCTCTTCACTGTTTGAATCACTTATAACCAAACCCTCTTTTCATTTCTGTGCAGCTTACAGTGAACCCTGCATTCTCAATGTTCTCTCTGAGATAGCATGTCTGAACAACAGGACCAAGTTAGTAAAAGCTCCTGCTCAAGTATTAGCACCAGTACTCAGGGGAGTGAGGATGATGGGACCGTCGATGCACTTTTAACGGAAGCAAAGACCAATGGGCGCAGCCTTGGGAAGCGGCTGTCCCACTTAGATTCACTCCCGGTACTTATCTATCAGTTGTTGAATGTGTGTTTGTCATTATTTTTGCTACATTCTGAATGATTCCCTCAAATTTACCTTTTGAATCTGTTCTCCGTTGACTTGTTTGCCATGAAATGAAGCACGAGTGTGCGTACTATATATCCATGAAATGAAACTTCTGGGGGGCCGATGCCCCCCCCCCCCTCCCCCAGATCATTCCCTAGCTCCGCCACTGTGTAGCATTCAGTAAAAAAAATTGGTAGCAGTGGTCAGTCTAGTATAGAACAATGTTATCCGCATTCATTATTATTATATGAAATCTAATTAGTATGCTCCAAGTTCCTTACCTTTCTAGTACTTGCCTTCATATTAAGTTACTGATGCCTTCCTTATTGGCAGCATACTCCTCGAGTTAATGGAAAAATCCCTGATTTTAGTAATGCAACCATAGACCATGAATCATTATTGGAAAGGTATAATGGTTGCATTTTGTTATTGCTTTCACCATCTCTCTGTTATGTTAGGTTTGTTTACCAACTTCTTTTTGGCAGATTGGGCACTTATGGCTTAGCTGAATATCAGATAGAAGGGGATGGGAATTGCCAGGTTAGTTCGTGACATGTTTCACAGAATAAGTATGTTGTTCTTATAAAGCCAAATATTAAGAAAATATTTCTGCTACATACCTTGAATCAATCCTACATTTAGGTATTGTTAATTTTCCATATCTTGTTCCCACAAAAAATGTTATTTTAGCTCATCTTCCATGTGGAGATTTTACCGTGTCTTCAACCTTTCCCCTTTTTTCTTACTTGTTTTCTCTACAGTTTCGAGCTCTGGCAGATCAGATATTCCGCAATCCTGATTACCACAGACATGTGAGGAAGGCAGTAGTGAAGCAGGTAAATCATCCCCCCTCTCTTTATCTGATGTATACTCTTGCCTTAGCAGAATGTGTTTATTACGTGAATTCGGAGGCTGCAATCTCAGTTACATCTATCACTATCTATTTTCATGATAACCGGTTATGCTGTACTAACATCTCTGTGTTTTAGCTAAAGGAATTCAGGAAACACTATGAAGGCTATGTACCATTGGACTACAAGGTTTACTTGAAGAAAATGAAAAGGTTCTATACTTCCAGACTTCCAGTACATAGCTGATTTGAGATGCTGCCATGCTTTAAGTTCAGTTTGTTAGTCATCTCCTTACACATAGCTATATTATTTATGATATTGTAGATCTGGGGAATGGGGAGATCATGTGACCTTACAAGCGGCTGCAGACCGGGTAACATAACACTTTCAAGATGGCTGTTTATTTTGTACTCCCTCCGTCCGAAAATACTTGTCATCAAAATGGATAAAAGAAGATGTATCTAGAACTAAAATACATCTAGATACATCCCCTTTAATCCATTTTGATGACAACTATTTCCGGACGGAGGGAGTAGTATGAGTAAAAACCTTTGGACTACATCTCGTTTTTGCATTATTTCTTGCAGCATTTAGTACCTCTAGATTGAGCTAGATATTTTCATGTTTGTAACCTTTGAAAAATATGAATCTATTAATATATTATTTATTTATTTCTGTAGCTATAAGCCTATACTTCTTTGCTCATTGCGCTAAAATTGTTTCTATGGCTGAGTTTGGTACACTACGAAATGTGATTTTCATCCTATGATGTTCATGCATCTGAATTGGCAAGCAACATCATTTTTTTCTTCATATTTAGTTACTTTGTTTTTCTCCTGATGACCACACATCACCGGTTCATGTTTCTTATGCTTCATTTTGGAGTTACATGCTCTGTTAGTTCAGATGGCACTTCGATATTCTTCCAAATAATATGCTCCGCTTTATGTGAATATGGCAGAAATCCAAGCTACCAGTACCCAATTGTTTCAATATTAGGAGGCGTCATGTATCAGTTATAATTGTCTGATACCTTTTGATTTGTTAAATCAGTTTGGTGCCAAAATCTGCCTGCTGACGTCGTTTAGAGACACATGCCTGATCGAGATAGTCCCCAGGGATGCCGCTCCTACAAGAGGTTAGAGTTGAGATTGTGCTTTTCCCAAAGCTGATTTATTCTGTGCCATGTCAAACTTGTGTCCCATTTATTTTGAACCACTTTGTTGTTTTTTGTGTCAATCATTCATTCTAAAAATATTGCCTGCTGCTAGTAGCAGCTAAATACTACTCCCTCTGTTCCAAAATAGATGACTCAACTTTGTACTAACTTTATACAAAGTTGAGTCATCTATTTTGGAACAGAGGGAGTAGGTGCTCATCGTTCCCTGTCACCTTCTGCAGAGCTTTGGCTAAGTTTCTGGTGCGAAGTACACTATAATTCCTTGTATGCCAATGAAGGTGAGCACTATTTTGCTCGATCGATGATACCTGCCAGCTATAGCATAATTTTGTGCTTACATTTAGAAATTCTGAACGGAGTCCGTATCTTGGCTCGTGTGACCTTGTAGTCCTCTTATAATCCGCTCTTTGCAGATCTTCCGACACGCAAGACCAAAAAGAAGCACTGGCTGTTCTAGGTAGGGTTCGCTGGTCGTTGGATTCACCACTCCCCCCCTCATTCTTGTGCACTCGGTCCAGCGGCATCTGCATGTAACCTTATTTCATACTGCTGATGTTGTAAGCTGTAACCTGAAACGGACTCATTCTAATCTTTTATGTAAAGTGGAATGGTGAAAATTCTTTATTTCGGGGAAGATGAGACAGAAATAGCAGCTGTACAGTTTGTCTTGGTTAATCAGTAGGAGCGTATTTCATGAGAAGTTGTCCATTCTTAGATCTCTTATTTCATGAGCGTATTTCATGAGATGCTTGCGGAGAGAGAGAAAAAAACGCGGGTGCTCCTGAGAGGATGTGGTGAAAAGAAAAGAAAAAACCTCTTCTGAAATTCGAAGGCCCTGAAAAATTTAGTCATGCATGCTCTTAGTCAGTTTGTGCTTCACATGGCAGTTTTTGTGTCGTAGAACACCTGAGTTCTGTAAAACAAACTATTTTCAGAATGCCTGGACCTGGAGTCTTGGAAAAGTTAGGCGTGTGAATTCTTAGTCATTTTTTTAGGCTTCGCATGGAACTTTGTTTTTTTGGGCATCTTATGTAGAAGAGGGAGAGCGATGCTGCTGGTGTATGAGCACAACGTGCTAGCACACACTACCGATCAAGCATAGCTATGCCGCATGGCTGACTTGAAAGTCTGAAGAAAGGGAAAACTGAAGAATCTTTTAGGTCGTCGTAGCTCGCGCAGCTGACTTACTAAAAAGAAGCAATACTATAACTATGGAACCTTTCTGGTTGGCATAAGAATATGCGGAGTATAGCACGTAGAGTCTTTTACTAGATTGTTGTAAGGGAGGAAAAGTGTACGGGATATACGTAGTAGGCTAAGACAGCTGTGATAGATTCCTCATCAAAAAAAGCAAAAAAAAGCACGTATGGTAGTATTAGCAAGTGACAGTCTTGAGTGTGCATGGCATATTATTAATTATTATTATGAAAATTCGTCGAAACAAATGTGATGATAAATAGTGTACCCAATCAAGAAGGGTTGTGTACCCAACCAAAGAGGTGCAGAGACAGGAAGCGAAGGGAATATGAAGCATGCCAGAGTGAATATCATCATCTAAACTCTGTCCCGTAGTTATGCTGTACAGACGGTTTACAAATCTCGCGACCAAATCTTTGAAGCATTTCAGTGAGAGAAGAGGATACAAAGACAAAACTCTGTTTGGACAAGCAGTTGAGCCTCAACATTCGAACCCAACACGCTCTTTTCAAATTGGTTGCGCGGCATTCTCTGGCCTTGCGAGATCAACAAAATACCAACAGAAGTCTATTTGAAACATAGTAATAATTCAGAGTTATCTATTTGAAACATCAGCAGCTGTTTCTGTTTTTAGAAACGATACGCGTGCGTCGACCCAAACAGCATCCCAGTGGCAATCCGTCCTTCTTTCCGTTCAAGAACCTTCAGAGGGAAGAAACAACAAATTGATGATTATCAGCAAAGACTAGTCAAGCCAAACAGTGCCTATAAATGACTGTCACAGACACAGGGAACAGTTTACATACCTTGTATAGCCTTTTTGCCTGCCTCTCAGGCTGCGACCTCCGAAGGTCAATAACATCAGGTGTTTCGGCACCAGCTGGAGTACTGTTACACACAGCAAGAGAGGAAAAGTAAATACCAAGTGTCATGCACTATTTAATTGATGGAAAAAAAACTGGTAACTGCCAATTAAAATAACTTGACAGCAAAAAGAACAGAAGTATAGAAAAATACCTTGAGATGGTGTCAACAGATCGAATGCCTTCTTCTATTTCCTCGTCCTCCATTGGTTCCTGCTCCACCTCCTCCTCTTCTTCCTCTTCCTCCAATTCTCCCCAGTGCTTGCTGCGATCGAGAGGTTCTTCCTAGATAACCGAAGTAAGTAAATGTTAGTTCTGCTCACGACAAACCATAATACAACTAACTTAATTTACATGGTAATTAGGTTCGTCCTTCTGCAGAAACCCAGAAACATTTCCATATAGTGGGTACCCATGCTGTTGGCAAGAAACTAGGGAATGATTAGATGGTCTAATAAACATATTTTAATAGATAAGATACCTCGCCAACAGGAGGCTTTCCCCACTCCCCTGGTGCATCACCAAAACTGTCTCCAGGAGATACTGGGGCATTTAAACCTGGGATCTTCAGACAAGGATAAGAGGGTGGAGGACCATACAGCTGAAAATAAATAAACGAATTGGCGTCAAAGTTGGCTAATGATGAAGGCATTGCTAGTAATAAACCAGGAAAACAATAGATTGAATACATACCTGCATGCTTTTAAGCCATGGGGGCGGGGCACCATCAGGCATACCAAGAGCTTCTTTAAGGTTCCTGGACAGCATACCTGGTTTCATTTCCCTAAGCTTCACCTGTTGAATGTGCACATGTTAGAGCTTGGCATCAGAACCATATATGGACACATGGATGTTGTCTGCCTTGTTGCTGTGTAAATTTTCAAGAGTGCGTACCTCAAACTCTTTCCCTTCATAATATAGATCACCATGACTAGTCAAATTGGGTTTTGTTTGATATTTGAAGAATGCGTCATGCAAAACCTGTGGGAACAAAACAATGCCAACACATTAGTCTTGGTACAACTGATACCAGGAGAATACTGAACCCCCAAAAAGGACAGATCTATATATTAAAGTTACATCAAATATATTATCGCAGAAAAAGAAGTTATAACAAATAAACACCAACACTAGCATTGTTACTTGTGTAAGTTGCCTAAACATTAGATTGGCACTTAGACAGTTACTCTGATGGATCTATGAGGACTTAGATTTTCGTAAAAAGAGGGGCTAATACACCAACACAGCAACGAATGCACGTCCATATATACAAGAAAACTATAGAAGGCATTCAAAAGTAGCAATATATGTCTTCATGGTTTTATGGAAGAAAACAGAGGGAACAAAACCCACAAATTGCTTCATAATTTGCAGCTTTGACAACATGACTAAAGTACTATGATATGCAGGTGGAGATATTAACCTGATAATCCATATCCATCTTGCCCATTTTGGGCTGAGTACGGTCGTGCTGTTTCTGTTTCAACATCTTGCTGTTCTCCTTCTTAATGTATGCCTGCATAAACATTTAGAAATCAATTAGTCTTTCTGTGTGCAGGCAAGTTCTGAGTATCAGCTTGCTCAGGTCGTTTTGGTAACAGAGGGAACAAAATCCACAAAGTTACCTGTCTCATTTTTTCAATTCCAGTTGCAGCAATGAAGTCAGGAAGCTGGAAAGGTCGTTTTGCAATACCTCGCTTCCCCTGGAACAACACATAATGTGTGAGTCTAAAATCTGAACAGAGTAATAGGTGAATATGGCAATGTCAGATGCTATCTTGAGTTCAGAATTTTGTAGTCTTCAAGAAAAAGATAACAGTTTAAGAAGTATGATCACATAATATCAAATATCAAAATCCATGGACTCTAGAATCTAGATGGACCTTATCTGTTCAGCAGAAGAAGCATCAAATGCATGCACATAAGATTCAACTATCCTATATACACTACAGAAACCATTCAAGCGGAACAACACCATTTCCAGCCTCCTCGATTGTTACAGCAGTCCCTGCAAGAATTACACATCTGTATAAGAAAGGTGAAACATTTTGGACACTTGGGCATGTTTTGGTTTGTTGCCCAAATAGCCAGACCAAACTTTTGGTAATGCATAATCAAGACGTCTCCCAAATGTCAGTAATGTTAAGATAATTAAATTTCCAGCAATGACCGATGGGATTAACATTTTAGAAGATATTAATGTCTGAAGCCTGTTACTCAAAGAAATAAAGTATTAAATTAAGCTAACTATCTCTAGCCACGTCAGCAAAAAGGGCACCAGCAGCAGGCGTGCCAATGGTTGAGTTTTGCCACTATGCACCAACAAAAGCTTTGGTACAGCCAAATTTTGCAGGGCACGCTAAATTTTGGAATCAGGCCAAGTGAAACAAATCTTAGGGGGGGGCACTACAAGCGTTTGGTAGAACAAAACTGCGCAACCAAGCCTACAACAATGCCCCCAAAACCCGCACTCTAGATGACTTGGAAGAATGCAACCATGTTCTGCATACCAATTATAGGATTCAAATCTCAGAAACATGGTTATCATACTAAAAAATAGATGGTTCAAAACTCACAAACCTGCAAGAACTTCCGTTTCTGGGACCAGTGTCTTGGAACAGGCACAGTATTCCTGTAGGACTTGAGATATACGAGCAATTTGGGATCAACGGCAGTAGCATCCCAGACCTAGCAAGGGAAACAACCAAGAACGCACATGTTAGATGAAAAGCGCCTTCATGTAACCATACCATAGATAATGTTGACATAGACGGCGCAATAGCATAATAGTTCAACAATTTCAGGCATTGCATCGTGGAGAGTGATTGAAGAAAGAAATCACCTCAACAACATCAGGCTTGTTGCATATCTGCTTCAACTCTGCAATCTTCATCCTCTGCAGCTGCTTCTTTTTTGGGGCATCCTGCTCATGATAATCAACATCGGACCCCTTCTTCTTTGCGGCATCATTAGATGCTTCCTTCTCGTTCCCCTCGCCCTGCCAGCAACAAAACAACCCGTGAGTTTCAGTCCCAATTCCAGTTAAGCCAGAGAACCGATTTGATGTTAGCAGACACCAGCAAACCCTCGCGCTCAAACAACCAAATGAAACCCTACCATAAACCCCACAATTGGTTTCCAGAAAAGGACATGGTAGGAAGGGAGGAAGGGAGGAACCGGATACCTTGGCGGCGGCGGCGGCCGTGAAGCTGAATTTCTCGAAGATGGCCGTGAAGACGCCGAGGAGGGGTTCGTCGACGTCGAGGTCGGCCTTCTCCGGCACGTACTCCACCTCCACCTGCAAGCGCGCGTCAGATACTAACCCTGGCTCTAGGCGCATTGGACAGTTATAAAGTCGACGGCGGGAACTCACCTGGAGGTGGGGGTCGGGACCGGCGTTCTCCCTGGTGCCCTCGCTAACAGCCGCATTGGCGCCCGCGGCCCTGTTCTTCTTGAGCCTGCGGAAGCGGGGGCGGGGGCGGCGCTCCGTGTCCCGCGGTTTCGAGATGGCAGCATCCACGACGGCGGCGGCGGTAGCCATGATCGGCGAGAGAGGCGGGCCTTGTTGCAGTTGTGGTCGGGTTGAAGATCTCGTGTGGTTTCGTTTGTTGGGCCCAAGTGAACTGCTTGGTCGGTAAGTCCTCCGACTTGGGCTCGGCCACGTCTATACTACAGCTGTCCGGTTTGTTTTCGAATTTTCTACTTTTCTACGTACTTTATAAACCGACTAAGTTGTAAGTACATCATGCAATTTAGGGCCCGTTTTGGTCGAATAATTTTGCCATAGTTTGTCACACAATTTTTTTCCCACACTTGTATAACCTTTGGCTTGTTCTATCTACTACCACTATAAAAGAAAAAGAGGACGGAGAACCAGATCATTCTATCCATCAAAACCTGCAATCTGATGGTCTACATCCCTCCAGCATACTAAACGCGTTTTACGCTTTAATTACCCACCATGCCATCTACTACTACTATAAAAGGAAGAGAGGGGCAGATCCAAACAATCAGGCGCGTCCATCGACAAGATCTAATGGCCCAAAAGTCTTTCGTGTTTAACACAACAAGCCACTAAACAAGCCATCGACCCAAAAAAACTAAACAGGCCACTAATCCTCAGTACCTCACGTATCATCCAACTGCACGCACGACTCCGCTGAGAAACGCACCACACGTTCTGTCCCCGACGCGAGCGCAGGGCCGCCGTCCCGTCTGCCACTCCGAACCTCCGCGGATCGCCGTAGGCATCCCTGCCCGCCACTCCTCCTCTGCTGCAGACGCCAGCGCACGGCCGCCGCCCTGCCAGCCGCTCCTCCTCCGCGGATCGCCCTTCTGCTCTGCTGCCCAACGGATGCATCGCTAATCGCCATCGCCATCACCGCTCGCCGCTCCTCCTCTGCTTCCCCACGGGCTCGCCGCTGTCCGCTCTCCTCTTGGTCGGCTGCTACCCCACGGACTCGAGTGCGGTTCGCCAACGCCGCCACGTTCAGGCCCTCGCCAGCGGCAAACTTTGATCAGGTTTTTTTCACATTAACATCAAGCCACCAGTTGGGTGTACGGTGTACCTCGTACTCTATATAGCAATCAAAGGGATCTGGTTTCATGGAACACCATGGATAGGCCAACAGAATAATTAGAAGAAACCCATGTGATTTTCCTTTTGGTAAACCACTACGACGTGCTTCATATTCAGTTTTCTGCTTGCATGCTTGAAGTGTATACAGATTGCATGTTTCTGTTCTGGATTTATCCGAACCATTTGATTCCAAATTATATGTAGTCAGGAGGAGATTTCTACAGGGTCTATAGGGCGAAGCAAAAAAAAAACTCTCAGATATCTCTTTTGATTGATGTGAAATTCATGTCTTTACAGGAATTGACAATTTTGGAAGGTGAGAATAGATGCAATGCAGAGAAACAAAAGCACTCATACATCTCTTTTAAATATTGGGTCTGTACTTTGCCACTCATCATATTATAATACTACTATATATAGAAAGGGTGGAGCTGATAAGTGAGGTAGTACCCAACTGAAGTATCGTTTTGTTTTTCAATTTCTTTTTCGTACCTAGGACTTCCTTGTACTGATATATGCATATAGCCTTATATGAGCCTCCAATTCAGCTTGCAGTTGCTCAACTATGATGTATTGTGCTTCCATATGCTTGTTTAATAATCAGTTGTGGGAAAATAGCCACAAAACTAACAGTTGGTCAAACAAACATCAAAAGCTGGTTTGATAAGCTGAATTATCATAATCCAACGCAATGCCAAACAGAGCCTATTAAACTGCAAGAAAAGTACTACATAAAAGCTTGTGAACTTCTAAGGATCCAGTTTTGATCCCTGTGCATTTCTCGCAACATTTAAGAATCCAGTCTAGATCCCTGTGTATTATGAATTTATTAGAGGTGTACCATCATTATGTGCTTGACCTGATTTAAGAAGTTCGCCATTTTGTTTTTTTAATCCCATTGTTTTTTAAATGTGACACTGATGAAGAATCATCATCCACCTCCATCCCCGGTAGGATCAGGGGAATGTTGCCCATTTAAAGACCTCAAGAATATGCCTATTCATGTGAATGCAAATCAAGCGGGCAAAGAACTGCGAGAAAAAAACCCAAAGAGTGGTCAAAATGGGTGGTCGCGAATGTCCAATGACAAGAGAGCAGAATACATCCAGAAGCGACGGGCGGTCCGCACAGAAAAGAAGGCTGCATCTCTGATTAGCATTGACCATGAGCAAGTACGTCAAACACATGGTTCGTTCATTAACTTTGCAGAGTATTGTATTGAGAGATTGTGCTGTCGTAAGTAATGTGTTATGTTTCCTATTGTTGCAGGTGTAATATGTACCACTGCAGCCTCGACTGATATGAACCATCGCCCAGAAGATGCAGGCGTTGGGTGCAACAAATGAAGTGGTCAAGGGTGGTATGCAAGTCTATCCGACGAGAAGAAAGCAGAGCACTGCAAGAAGCTCCGGATCTTCAGACTAGCAAAGAAAGCTGCAGCCACCAACGTCCAAGTATCACGTGGACGTTTCGACAAATAATTTCTAACACTATGAAGTGCATATGATGCAATGTAGCACTGTAGGTATTGGTCAACTTGAATCAACACAATCTTCCGTCAAGATGCTAAACACACCATGCAGTGGGTCATCTATGATTGAAGGGGCCCAGGGACAAGAAAGCTTTCTGCCTAGAAGTAACTCAGTTCGATAAGTTCAACTGAAAGGTATGCTGGCGAATCATTACGGACTGACTCATTTCGAGTTTACAGACAAAGTATTCTAACCATTTATCGGTGTCAGAGGCATCTTCTGGGAAGAAACGGCGGCGTTTGAGAGAACAATATGTTTGGATGATGGCAGAAGATAAAGAAGGTATGTTGAGTAGGAAACGTTTGGACCATTTAGTACAGCAGCTATACATTTATGATACAGATGAAGCCTTGGAACATAGAGTGAAACGCTCTCTGGATCTTGATATCAATCTCGTACGGGTGATCTTACATATATTGGAGAAAATTATCTGATTCCTATACACATTCAGACTTGTGTATTGACAATGCTTGCTTGTTAGATAAGAGGTGACACTCCTGTTATACAAGAAGAAAGAACTACTGACCTTGCCAATCAGATATTCAGAGTTTTGTAGATGTTGCTGCAGTTACAGAAAGTACTTAATGTCAGTGGTTGCACTGAAGTTGATTCTCTGCTGCTCTGTGTCATCTGCATAGATTTGTTACCTTTTTGAGTGAACTATGAATCTATGATGCACAACTGTTCAATCCAACTCATCTTCTACATTTGCTAGGCCTCATTCTGTAGGATAGCACATTGAAAATGACATGCTTGTCTATACTAACCAGTAACCGTTTGAAAACAAACAGTACCTGAAATAAGAAGTTTGAGTGACTATGTATCCATGTGAGATTATTTATTTATTTCCTCAAAGATATATTCTTGAAAAGGTACAATTCCTGCCTGTTGTCTTATGTCCCCTTCCTCAATTAATGCCACCATATCTTGTAGTATCAGTAGCAGGCTTTATTATTGTAAATCTGTGATGCAAACTCCTGTCCTGATGGACTCACTGTCAATGAACTCTATACCTGTACATTATTATACAGATTCTAGAGTATCAGTTTTGTACTGTATATCTTATTGTTTATGGAAAAGGCTGCTGATACAGGTACTCTTTGGCCACTGGAGAAGCCTGTGCTCTGTAATGTGTTGGTGAATTACACACCGGCACATCTCCGGGAAGATGCTGATGCAGGCGAGCCACCATATAAAAATCAGGGACTTTTTTTAGACAAATCAGAGAAATTCTCAGTAAATGGCACTCTAATGCAAACTTAAATGATAATAAAAAAATGTCGAATGCTATTTTTAACCTGAATTATTTACTTGGCATATGATTATCTTCTTTATCGCCGACTAATGTGTTCAAATGTTCACCATATTATTGGTGGAAGTAATTTTGCATTGGTTGTTTGGAGCACTCAAGTTTTGCATCGAAAATTACGGATGTTTGTTTTAGTTGGTTGTTTCCAAGCTTTCACTTCATATTCTCAACTTCGCCTCAGACGCTTTCAAGCTTAAACAGAGTAGGTCACCTATATGTCAGGTCCACACATGTATAAATTAGCATAAAAAATGTTTTATGCTAAGAATCTGTGCATACTGGAAGGGGAAATTAGATCATACATCTCGGTACCTCCAAAGAATATATATCAGATGTTTAAGTTTTCATTTTTTTTGCTTTGTTTCAGGATTGATGGAGAAGTTGGTCTGCAGTTCAAGCTGGATCGTGATTTACATGGCTAGCCTGACCACAAATTATTCTAAGCTTAGTAGAAAACTCACATATATGATAAC